TAATATGAAATTATAATGCGTACTTACGTTGGTCTTTACCCACGGTTAAATACAATAAATTAACTAAAAAAAAAAAAAAAAAAAAAAAAAGAAGGAAAGAGACGGATTCAAAAAATAATATTTATTATATTGGTAGGATCTATATAGAGTTTAACATATTCCATATCAAAACAAAATAAAGAAGGATTTTTCAATTTTTTTGTTTCCATTTTATTTTTTAAGTTTTCATATTTTATTTTATTACATTCCATTAACATTTTTATCTCTCCCTTGCTTAAACAAGGGCAAGTTCGTCTACAAAAATAAAATAGTCTATAAAATAAATTTTATTTTTTATTTTTAGATTAATAATATTTATTCTTTTTTCATAATTTACAAAAAATAAAAGTACATATAGTTAAGTTTTAACTGCATATAACTACAAAAATAAATCCATATAATTGATTTATAAAAATTAGTATAATTATAAATTTATTATTGTTTATTTATCTTAATAAATTGTTAAACTTATAATCATGTAAATATAATTAATTAAAATCATGTTGAATGAAAATAATTATATAAACATTGTTTAATTATTTACTATAATTATGTTGAAATTGTTATTGCTATACTGAAATTTTTATTGCTACAAATACATTAAAACAACACTTAATTTAATGTATTAAATTGCTGCATCAAGGGTCTAATCCCAGACGTCGGTTTAGCAGTGGAATAAAGATAGCTCTCTTTCTGAACAGTGATTGGTTTAGCTGTGGAATAGAGATGGGTTTCTTCCTGGACAGTACTTTAACTGTAGAATAGACATAAGAGATCTATGTGATCGGGAGAGTGGGTCTAAAAGGGTTTGCTCGTCTGGGCTTTGTCGAGGGTTAGAGAGGTAACGCTATGTCCCAAAATCTATTATGTAACTTTCATTGGTACATTGGGTTTCAATTTGTCATGCCCATGGATGTAGCCCTCTTGGGGTGAACCACATAAATCTTTATATTCTTGTGACGTGTGTGTTTCATGCTTTATTTCTCGTATTATGGCACGTGCTCTCTCCTATTTTGTTTCTAGCAGTATAAGTACACGATCTTGGTGGGATCCAACTTTTGAGACTCCTGTTTTCGCATCTAAAAGGGTTATTAAATCCTAACAATTAGTATCAGAGCACATAGTTCAGTACAGAGCTAGTGTTTGTGCATTCGGTTGAACAAAAACACATGGCAAAGTATGCAAGTGTTTTATTTGAGGTGGAGAAATATGATGGCAAGCACAATCTTTCTAGAAAGAATGATAATAGAATTTACTTGGCAAAAGAAAATGAATTCATAAAGATATCCATTGGATGTTGGTATGATGAGCATGTGATTTTGATATTAAGGCGGAACTTGTTGTATATGGTGATATAAAAAAATCATCAACATAAGGAAATCCTATATATGCAGGATTGAGAATGATATTGATAAGTTTCCTCAAGGAAATAGAAATCCAAAAATATTAGGACTCTGGGATATATCTTTGGGTTCTTGATATATATATATATATATATATATATATATAGGAAAATACTATGCAATGCTTATAGGCGAAAATGAACAGTGATTTCGCCTACTCCCATTATCGTCCAAAGTA